GACCAGCAGTTGGCGTAATGGCTATGTCGCTGGACTCCCACATAGTAGACTGTGGTTTGAGTCCCGGACCCGGTGGCTTAAACTCACACCAGGTGCGTGTGTGCCCAAGATCCCGAGAGGAGAATGGAGGAGAAGGGATTGCAGCGTGGCCATCCTCTCCGGGGGGGACGTCTCACTTTCTGTCTTTGTGGCGAGCGCACATGTCCTACAGCAATAAACCTCTCCAAAAAAAAAAAAAAAAAGAAAGAAAGAAAGACACTCCTTCCTACACGGAGGTGAGGTAGTGGTCTGTATCGTGTAAGAGCTTCAAAAATCTGGGGTCTGGATAGCGGCACTGTGATAAAACACCTGCTCTGCAAGGCTGAGAGCCACAGAGGAGTTCTGGTTCGGGGAAGGAACCTGGAGGCTTTCCTGAGTACGCTGCCTGTGAGCCCCAGCGCTGGCCGAGGCGGCGAGTGGGCCACAGCATCACGACCCTGTGGGGAGGGCTCTTCCTCGCACTCTCAGAGGAAATAAATAAATGAACTTAAAAAATAATCACATTATCTGGGTCTCGATCTTACTCTGGCAACTTACTCATTTACGACCTTGCCTTCTGTGTAACTAGTTTTGTTTGGTATTTGCCATAGGGTGCATGCACTTGCCAGAGAGAGATGGAGACAGTGAGGGGGGAAATGAGAAATGACCCCCCGGGTGGACAGCCACACTGCAGTCCACCTCCATCCTCCTCCTGGGATTCTGGGCATGCGCACATACATGCCCGGCATGACCTCCACACTCCCAGGTCCATGGCTTTGAACCATGGTCAGCTATGTCAAAAGTCCAGCACCTCAACCATGTCACCTGCTAGTCCCTGTAACTTAGTTTTTTATCTGCAAGATGAAGATTCCTCACATTGTACAAATTTGTCTAAAAAATTACATATTATATGGTGCCTTAAACCATACCTAGAGGGACCAACAGATGGCAAAATGCTTACATTGCTGGACTTCCACCATGGCTCAAGTCCTGGACCTGGCGGCTTGAAACTCATGTCAGGTATGTGTATGCATGGCCAAAATCCCAAGGAGAGAATGGAGAAGGGACTGTAGTGTGGTCATCCCCCCGGGGCTCATTTCTCACTTTCTATCTCTCTGTCTCTCAGGTGAGTGCATATGCCCTATAGCAAAGATCTCCCTTAAACAAAACAAAACAAACCATACCTAGCATACAGGAAACAGTTCATAAATGGTAGATCTTATAATCAGCCAAGGTAACAAAATAAAAGTTACAAAATAAAATTCTAGTTGTGTAGGCAAGACAAAATTGTATTTTAATCATTCAAGTGTAATATAGAATTTAACGTTACTTCATATACTGTTTCTGAATCCATTGATTTGACAGATACTTATTGTATCCCTGCCATGTGCCAGGTGTTGCTCTGGGCACCGACATCAGTGACGGAGCAGACAGAAGTCCTTGCCCACATGGGGTTGGCCAGAATTCTAGGGCCTTGAGGCACAGTGGTAGCAGCAGAGGGCCTGTGAGATGGAAGGGTTCTTAATCTGTTTTAAAATTAAAAACGAATGATTTGCTGACTAAATGGATACTGGGCATAGAACAAGTGATGACTGGGGCTCGCTAGTGGAAGGAAGGGTTTGCTATGATTGGACGTGGGGAAACCGAGGAGAACAGGATTGGAGACCGGGAGTTCAGTTCTGAGCCACGGCACATCCGGGATGCTGCATCAAGCTGGCAGATGGAACATAACTTGAGAGTTCAGGGGAGAAGGCCGGGCAGGAAACTGTTGCTTAGGGGTCCTGATACTTATCTAGGGAAGGTAGTACAGGGGGGCAGGTTCCAAGGTACAGTGGCTGACGCCACAGGGGAGGCCTGGGTTTCGTTCCTGGCCCAACCTAAACAGGCCAGGCACAGTGGCTGTAGCTAAAACAAGGAGGTCGGGGCAGAACTGCCCCCATAGCTTATCAAAATGCCTCTCTCTCTCTCTCTCAAAAAAAAAAAAAATCTTTGGACTTAAAAAATTTAATTCCCTTAATATCCACATCAGAAGTAGATAATAACATTGCTGAAATATGTTTCTCTATATACTGCTACTTTTCAATTCCTTTTTTATATAAAGAAATTCTGCCTCAATTAAAGGTCTATCTCTTCTTGTTAATGAAAGCTGCTTTCATTTCTAAAGTTTTCTCTTCGTAAGTGGGCAATTAGTATTCTACAGAATACCTGTTCTCATCAAGAGTTTCGAAAACAGAAGCGTACATTACAGCCTGCCTATCTCCTTCCGTGAGGTGCATTACGCCGATGTCAGAGCTGGCAGCAGGTGGGTCCTGCCACCTGTCATCAGCCAGTGCTGGCAAAGGTGTGTCTGCACTGACAGCCACAGCAAGGGGCCCAGCAAGCCAGGGTGTGGTGGCGTCTGGGGGGCTTCTGCTGAGGCAGTGATTAATAAGTAATATGCTACTGTTAGTAGGGCCTGTGATTTAACTACTACCCAGTACTTACACGTGCAAGTGTTTATATATTTCCTTGAAACAAAACAGAAGTCAGTCTACATACTAAAATTCTAATACCAGGGCTCAAAAAGCAAATCCACACACATCAGTTTCTAAGAGAGGAAAACAGCCTCTCGTTAAATGCCAAACTCAGAAAAGAAGGAAACAAAGACAAAACCAAAAAAAGCTAGAAAAATCCAGGTAACTGAAACGTGTTTTATTTATTCAGTACTTTTAGAGAAATGACTGGCTTCTGACCTGACTCTTAGAATTGTACAATTTAAAAATCCAATCACAAAATCATCTTCTTTCTGTATAACGGTTACAAATTTATAGGCAGTCTCGGATTAAAGTGACTGAGAAGGAAAAACCACAGGAACCCCGAAGAATGGCAGTGAAGTTTACGTGTACCACTGTTCACGGTCCGGAACCTCGGCATGGCCACGGCTTTACTGGCACGATTCGGGACGTCACTCTGGCATGATTTCTTCACATTTTCAGAAGACTCTAATTTATATAGTAATACTCTAAAAAATCTTCCTCAGCGGCAAACATAACAAATGACAATTCAGGGCACCAAAAACATAATAAAACAAAGCAAACCTAACAAAAAAAGAGCAAAACTTATAGGATTCCTGATCAGATTCTAGTCAAAATTGATGCTGGGTTGTCTTTTCTTCATTTTATACATATATGTATATATATAAAATGAAGATATATGTATATATGTATATACATATATATTTATATATATACACACATACACATACACGCACATACATATACATATGTATATTTAAGTAAATATATATATACTTCAATTTTTATTTTGAATGTTTACTTTAGAAATTAACAATTTTGTGAATCTCGGTTTCAGACAAGTCAACAAATACCAGAACAAAAGACAGTCTTAACTATCACTTGCAAAGCCCAATCAAGTTAAAAATATTCCAGGCCATAGTCTTAACTCAGGGCATAAAATAATAAACTGTATTTTCCAACATAGATAAAACTTCAAAACTAAATTATAAGTATGTGCCTAAAACATAATATTAAAAGGAGAAAAAAAAGCTTTTTGTGAGCACCCAAATAATTCCTCCTCTGTACACAGAGACACAAAAGCACTTTTAGCTTTCAGGTTTCAACAAATCCTGTTGTAACAACAACTCCCTCCCTTCCCCGCCTCTTCTTTCTTAATTCTCCCACATCTCAAAAAATGAGATGGAGAACCTGGTATTTATCTTCCAGCACCATCAGCAGTTTTCACCTCTCAGATTTCTCAGTTGCTACTTACTTGTTTTATTTGCTCTAGGTTAACGTGAAGCGTTAGAAAAAGTACCAGGATCACTGAAATGAACCCCACGTAGGTGGTTTCTCTTCATCGTACCTAACTGAGGGTTCTCGTGGGACAACTGACGCAGGGAGGAAAGACGGGGACGGCTTCCGACAACAGGTACGGGGAGTGAGATGCCTAGTTTGTGATTAAGCTGTGGATCTGTTTTTAAATATTATTTGTGATTTAACTGGATCGTGTCTGAGAGACGGACTTCACGTAGGAATGAAATCTACAGACTTCTGTTGGCAAACAGTTCACGAAGTGAACATCTTAGGTTCTGTTCTGTGTGCAGTGGGCTTTGGAACCATGGAGAGTCCTCTATGCAGAAAGAGGATTTTACATACAACCTTTTGCTTTTGCTTATTCTCACGGTATTTGTCTACCACCACTGCTGCGCTGCCTCCACCACAGTCACAGACAAAGTATGCCTTTATTTTCCACGACAGAGAAATCTGAGGCGAAAGGCCACACACAGTAGTATTCTTGTGGCTAGAAAAGAAACAGTCCCACAGCAATTTTGCTAAAATGCCAGTCAACGTGCACGCAAGGAACAGAACGGTGACTTCCATTCTGCGTTACCAATTCTTTCTATGGACGTTCTCTCTGCAGAAGAAAGCATTTGAAGCCCCACCGTCCACTGGAAGCAAGCGCTATGCCAGGCGGACGCAACGTCCTATCGTTTATGCAGATCTGGGCTGTCTGTAATTTGTCACTGCCAGTCCTTGTTAATTATGATGAACCAGCTGTCTGCAGGGCTGAATTAGACTGAGATTTATGAGCTGCACAGGTTAATGGGAAGAAAAGGGTTATAATTGGTAAGCTGAGCAGGGACTGATGAACATATAAAGGTCATTCAACCAAAGTAAAACAAAAGGAAGGTAAGGAAGGAGGCGGGAAGGAAAGCAGATGCTCTTAGGCGAGGTGAGCAGCAAGTCCACTCCTGAAGCCTCTCTAAACGGAAAAAGGTCTGGAAGGCAGTAATTTAGCAAACCTGCTAGAGTCTGAAGCAAAAATCTGAATTTGAAAACAGCTATTATGAAACTGTAAACATGCGCTTACTTTTTTCTAGAAACTTTCTTTCATTCTATTTGGGTCTCAGAGATGAGAAATTTACAAAATAGAAAAGGAATGAACCGTACGACTTCAGGCAAATCCTATGCACGCTGATGTTAACAGACAGGTCTGACTCTTAAAGGACTTAGCATCCTAGGGAAATCCTCTTCTAAAACTGTAAGATTTACATGTTAAGATTATAAACAAAAGCAGAACACAATCCATAGTCCAGGATCCAGTGTCTTAGAGAATCACTGTTTCTCATTATGGACAGTTTGCACTTTTAATATGGGCATAGATTAGTATTACCTCAGATATTTAACCAAAGCCAGATATCAGCCTTCTTGGTGCGTCATCTGAAGTTAAGCCGTCTGCCCCGCTAATACTCCATGGGGTCCTGGTGGGAAAGGGAGTGGGGGAGCCGGGTTAACGGAGCCTTCTGTCTCCAGATGCAGCATTTCCTCCACTTTGCATGGGAACCACGTGGGTGGGGGGTGCGGTGGGGACTCTGGCAGGAAGCACTGTGATGAAAGGGGGGAGATGCAGGTGGAAGTGAGTAGGAAGACATGAGAAAGAGCTGGACCTTGCCTAGAAGGTCGTCTGGTACGCATATTTACCTATCCGAACATTCTAATCTGCAAAGATGGTGGTGCTCAGGATTCTATCTGAGGTTTCTTTCAGCTCCAAGGTTCTATGAAAATAAGTCAGCCCCAGAGGATAAAGAGAAAAAGACCCAAATGTCTATAACCATCACTGTCACATAAAATGAAAATGCTACTAATTATGTCAGTTATAAATGGAGTACTTTCTGTGAGCTAGATAATGTTCTAAGCCCTTAAAATGTATGAGCTTATTCAACCCTAGGATGTAGGCAGTACAGCCCTCCCCACTTCCCAGAAGGATATTGAGGCACAGCGAGGTTACAAAAGCCAAAAATTGACGCGGGTGTTTTGGATCCTAGAGTCTGTACTGCTTTGTGTAATCTACAGGACTTGTGACAGAGCCCCTCTAAGAGGTCACTTGAAACGGGCCAGAAATACAGAACGGGCAGTACGACGCTC